AAATAGGGTGTAAATCTTGATTTAGGGTAAATTTATAATTTGGCTTATTTTTGCTTGTGTTTGGTAATATTATATTTATATATTGACAAATGACAAATCAATGCATATTTATATTGATAATAAGATGTAAAAAAACATTAATAAAAAAGAAGTAAATTTGCATTCAAGTGGGCTTTTGATAAAAAAAGCATATGTTTTATTTATTTATTGAAATTCATGTTTTCATCTGATGATGTGTGATCTGTACTCTCTTAGTTGGAAGGTAGCTCGGATGTCGGACTGTCACGTGGTCAGTCGAACTGCAAGACAAGAAGATTAAAAGACCTGGGGTGCTTTACCCGGTGTGGGCACTCTGATGCTTAAGTTAGCAAAGGGTATGTAATAGCAAGTTGTTTTCTTGTAAGTGAGAAAGTCTGAGAGATAAATTGCGCATACCTTATAAGGTTAGAGGTGATGCCCTTATATAGGCGAGTTGTCGTAAGCCTCACGAAACATATCCAAGATCTCCGATTTGCTTTACTCGGAGTCTGTTTCGCATCCGGAGATGGACTTCGTGTGAGCTGATAAGACTTATCGAGTTCACCCGATCTGTGCGGGATAAGAATAAGGTTCGCTAACGAGCGGTGTGATCTCAAAAAGGTCAGAGACGACTGGCTAGCTTCTAGAGGAGGGCTATGTGGTACCTCGACAGGTTGGGACACCATAAGTTGCTCGGACCTTGGTCTTGGCCGAGGTGCCCAAGTTGACCTGACTTGCTGAGGTGTTCGGAAATGTTGAATTGTCGTCCAATCATCAGGTCGCTCCACATGTCCGCGTACTATCGGGTGAGACAAATTACCCTTGATTAGCATCCATTACAGCTAAAAGTCTGATTGGTAAGAAGATAAATTTGTCAGTGCAAAACTAACCCTACTTCACAATTTATATGAATCATTTTGCACTCTACATATTTGCATCATTTCCAAATGTAACCTTACAAAAAAAAGTCACATCGATTCCCTAATCATTTCGATTTTATGTAAAAAGGGTTATCACTTCTAATATTAATATTAATTAAAATGTGCAATATTAATATTACTTAAAATGTGTAATAAGGCATTGGTTTCATCTGATGTCAATTACAACTTTGTCCATACCAATATGATTGTGTTATATAATCAAAAGAAATTAACCTCCTAAATTTTGTATATCAAATTTGGTCACTTGCCAAATATTATACCTGATTTTTGTTTGTTTTCCATTTAATAGTTAATAATGCATATTGATTATAAATTTTGTATTACAGTCTTGCCATCAAACATCTGCACATCAAATTCCATTATTTATAACAACTATTTTTGTTCCCCCCACGTGTATTACACGTCGATAATTCGAGTCTGAATACTTTAATCAAAAAGCGATTTAAGGTAATTGAATCCCTTATTAAAGAATAATATTTTCTCTTTTTTGATGATGCCTTTGCCCATTCCATGTAATAATTTTGTAATTGAATCCCTTATTAAAAACTAATATTTTAATTTTTCTATTTTTGTTTGTAAATTGCAAATAAGTATCGTGTACTTTAGGTTTAATCTTATTTTGATATTCGAATTTCAAAATGTACTACTTGAATTCATGAAAATTAGTCATTTGTCAGTTGTCTTATCATGTTATGACATGTACAACTAAAATCTTTTGAAAATGTCAGAATTACATATTTCCTAAAAAATCAAGACAATTGAAGTTTCAAGCCCATCACAAAATTAGCTCAATAAATCAATCAATACTCTAGATTTATGCATTTGGATGATTAATAAAAAAAATTAGATGACATCCCAAGGACATTTGTATCTTTTTACATCCCATTTAATGGTAGTTAATGATTTTGGATTAAACTGAAATATTTTGGGATTTTAGACACGTTTTAAAATTCAAGTACAAATGTGAGACTAGACCCAAAGTACAGGTATTAATATGCAATTTACCCTTTTTTGTCCTCTGTTTGAGAGACAAACAGAAAAGTTAAGTCTGGGTTTGGTTTGGGAATAAATTTCATTTCATAGAAATGTTGTGTAAATTCTGATTTAGTTCAAATTTGTCTATCATATTTGTTTGTGAGAAATAACATGAACTAAACTTAAAGAAAATTCTCATAAAATACAAAAAAAAAAAGTAATGAAAGTAGAGAAGGTTTATTTGCGTAGGAGTTTAGTAAGATGCAAGATGCTGTCCCCGCTTTTTTAGGTGAAAGAATTGAAATAGGATGAAGGTAGTGCAAATTTTGTATCAATTTTTGAAAATGTGTGCTTGAAATTTACACCACTAATGAGGAGTTCGAACTTCGAATCTGTGCCACACAATAGGGAGTTGCCGCTGGTCCCGTTAGCTCCAAAAAGTCCAAAACAAAAATGTTTCCCCCATTCCCGTTCATAAACCTCTCATCTCTCGACCTACCTTGAACCATACACCTCCTCTTCCTCATCCATTCGAGCTTGATGAGAAATCCGACATTGACGCTGACAACCATTCCAGCAAGGACACCGAAGGTACTCCCCATATCTCTCATCTAAAATACAAGTATTTTGTGTACAATAGACTTTAAAAAAATGTATTTTATCTACAACCATGTAACACTGTAACCTAATGAGTAATGAGGCCCCATTTCAACCTTTCTTTTTCCGATGAAAACTGAAAAGCCACTTCCCTTAAACAAAAAACACAGGCTAAACAGCAAACCAGAACAAATGGAAAAAACACAACAAAAAACCATCAAAATTAGCACTCAACACAGTAGAATAGATAAAACAGATGAGACGAGAGAGATGGGGAGTACCTCTGGTGCCCTTGCCCAAAGGGTTGTTAGCCTAGGTGCTGGATTTCTCATCAAACTTGGATGGAAGAGGAAGACGAGATGCAAGGTTTAGGGCAGGTTGAGAGATGAGAGGTTGTGAACAGGAATGAGGGAAACATAGTGGAATGTTTTTGGGGCACTAGGCCGTGGGGTGCAGATTTGAACTCACTAAGAGGAAAAAAAAGGGGAAATTGTTTAAAACTCACCATGAATTTTCAACATTTTCCTTAAACTCACCACAACTTTTCAAAATGTGTAAAATTCATTGTGTCAGTAAGTTTTTATTTTCCAAAACCCACATTTTGTCAGTGCATTGTAAATGATTCTTAACAGAGGTGTGTCCATGTCAGCATAAATAACCATTTTCATGACCAAATTACTCTTGAATGGCGAGTCGGAGGAAAAATGGTATTTTTCAGTTTTCAAATTTCTTGTTAATTTTTTTTGCATTTTTAGTGTTTTGTTATAATTTCCATCATTTTTTTATAATTTCTGTTTTTTTACATTTTCTATTTTCTACAATCTATAAATTTTCTTGTATTTTTTGTTATTTATTTGTAATTTATGTGTTTTCTACAAGTTTTATTTTCTGATTTTGTTTTTCAATTTCTATAGTTTCTATAATTTGAAAATATTTTTTTATATTTTTATATATTTTATATTTGAAAATATTTTTTAAACCTTTTCCCTTTTTCATGTTTAAATATTAAAATTGTAATATATTAACACCCGTTAATTTATTTTGTATATATTATATATTTTTCTATGAATGTAATGACAATATATTAACACCTGCGAGTATGTTTAAAGTCAAGTTAGTGACATGACGAGTTTTAGACATTTAGAAAAGTTGTGGTGAGTTGAAGAGAAATGATGAAAACTCATAATGAGTTTTTAGACAATTCCTCCCCAAAAAAACAAATTATTTATCAAAAACTTAAGTTATAACTCATACTACTTAGTTGTTTTTTAATTAGTTATGAATTTTGTAGCCATTCCAATAAAAAAATGTAGCCATTCAAGATTTGCACGCAACCATGCCATCATCCAATAACGGCATACTCATTTGTTTTTTAATTAGGTTATTACAATTTTACCCTTAATGTAAATAGTACATTAATAATGTTGCCACTTTTACATTCCCTACACTTATTCCTCGCTCGACATTTCAATAGACCCCTTTCCTTATTTTGACGTTCAAAACCTAACTAAAAATGATTAATAATATTCAATTTATTTCAAAATTTTTGACTAAAATATTCCTATATATATATATATATTTATTGTTGGAAATCAAAAGGATTTCATTACTCAATAGAATCCGAATACAGATAGATGAATAACAATAAAATCAGGTGACCTCAACCACAACCACGTAGTAACATGAGAAATTCTAAGAACTCGAGTAGCAATCAAGTGAGCCAGAGATCAGAGTTAGAGGGTTGAGAACAATAAGGAATTGAGCAATGAAAGTTTTTACCCTCAACGTATATAAAAGAACCCTTTTGGGATATTTTTTGATTAATAAACATTCCAAATATGGTAATTCATGGGTAAATTGAAAATTTAAAGTATTTAAAAGGATAACATCGTCATTTTCCATTAAATTTCTAATGCCAACCAATGAAAAGGGTCTATTTATATAATTTTTCAAAAAATGTTAAGAAAGAAAATTGGAAAATTCAAGGTAAAAAAGCCTAAAAGGTGTTAAAGCATTTTTCTAAAACACAAACGGATGCTTAAATAATTTACTCTTTTAAGCATCCCTTTTATTAATACAATTCGTGTAATGATCTGCTATCTCTCAATACTGTCCCAACAAATCATTGCAGCGGCACATTAGGAATATCTCCTTTTCTCATTCTGGGAGATGTTTGACCCGACTGTAGTAACTTGTTTGGACAGTATTACTAATAAAATTCAACAACGAGGGCTTTATTTTATTATTTCTAAGAAACAAATGGGCCTTTTATCATTTGTCCGATTAACCGATTTCATCGTTTTCCGCGGTAGGTGGAGGTGGTCCAGTTCTTTCTTGAGTTCTTCTTTTCCTCTAATCCTTTTTTTTTTTTTTTTAAATAAATTTCGTTAAATTAAATTAAAATAATTAATTGAAAAAAGCAGTGCACATTTTTTATTTTTTTTTGTTTTTAACTTTTCCTTTTTTACTATTCTAGTATACTTTCCCATCTTCCCCACCTTCCCTTCTGCCTGTCCGAAACCTTCCCGTCTTCAGCTCTGGATTTTAGATCCCTTCTCCTCTCGAAACTGTGAGAGGAAGATCTATCAAACGAGCGAGATGGCTGCTCTCAACCAAATAACATCTTCATCTCGTTCCAGGTTCCTCAAGCCCCTTGCCTCCTTCTCCTCTTCTCAATCCCTACGCCGCTCGTTCTCCTCACCTGCCGATGACACTTCTGTCATCACCGTCGAAACCAGCGTCCCCTTCACCGGCCACAAGATCGACCCACCCTCCCGCACCGTCGAAACCACCCCAAAGGAACTCCTCGGTTTTTTCAGAGACATGGCCGTCATGCGCCGTATGGAGATCGCTGCGGATTCGCTCTACAAGGCTAAGCTCATCCGCGGCTTCTGTCATCTCTACGACGGCCAAGAAGCCGTCTCCGTTGGCATGGAAGCTGCCATCACGAAGAAGGACTGCATCATCACTGCCTACCGGGATCACTGTATTTTCCTCGGCCGGGGCGGAACCCTTCTCGAGTCCTTTTCTGAACTGATGGGTCGTCAATCTGGTTGCTCTAAGGGAAAGGGAGGCTCTATGCATTTCTACAAGAAGGACTCTGGCTTCTATGGTGGGCATGGAATTGTTGGTGCACAGGTGCCGCTCGGCTGTGGTCTTGCATTCGCGCAGAAGTACTCCAAAGATAATACTGTCACGTTCGCTATGTACGGTGATGGTGCGGCCAATCAAGGCCAGTTGTTCGAAGCACTCAATATGGCAGCTCTTTTGGATCTGCCCGCAATTTTGGTCTGTGAGAACAACCACTGTAAGTGACTGAGATAAAGAAATAATACAATTTTACCTCGCTTTAAACTTGAAACTTTTCTTGCACTGGTGCTTCTTATGCTCTTAGTTGAATTTGTTTTTTGTTTTGTTTTGTTTTGTTTTTTTTTGTTTTTTTTTTTCTTTTTGGTTTTGCAGACGGAATGGGGACAGCAGAATGGAGAGCAGCTAAGAGTCCAGCTTATTACAAGCGTGGGGATTATGTTCCTGGCTTGAAGGTGAAATTCGTGTTATAACATTTTGTCATTCCAATTTGTTTACTTTGATGTTATGACTGTCATCTTGCAGTTTTATCATTTGAGTCCCAATTTACAATTTTGCTAGAGAAGTTTCACAAGTTGATTGAAGCTGAGCACTTATATTGTTAACTGTAGTTACTAAGACGAAGTTTTTAAAGCTTTTGACTCTACTGGATGTTCTGTTTGTATATTGTATCGTTCACTCTAGAATCATACTCATGCATAACCTGTGGTCGGTGATGAGTTGCAGCAACAAGAAGTTGTTAAATGTGTTACCTATGATGAAATAAGTAGTTAACTGTGGATGGATATATTAGCTTATCGAAGTGACGAAGTGTAAGGGACAGCTGAAAAACTAATCATGAGTGTTGTACTGGTTGGTAATTGTCTTGATTTGCTTTGTGAAGTGTCTTGGTGAGGAGAAGTCTCACCTTAGATTTATGATCATTTGATATTCTGGCTATTGCCTAAGTATAAAAAATAATTAATGATTATTAAAAAACTATTGAATGAGTAAATTATAGGTTTAACAAAAGACCTGCATGTTATGTACTTGACATTATCCTTTTGTTTCTTATATTTGTTTTTGAAGTTCAATAGGGTACAGGAACAGAAGTTTAGGCTATGGGGAGAGATTAGTCTTATGATGTGGGAAGTTTCTGACATAATAGCTTAGATTTTTTTTTTTTTTTTTTGGTGTGTGTGTGTGTGTATGTGTATGTGTGCATTTCTCATTAATTTACTGGTTTCAGATTGTGAACTTGATATTTCTGCTCTAATGCCTGGATTCATAATTGGTTCTCACCATTTGCTAGCAACCCACTAATCGTCCTTGATGTCTGCATGGATATAATTGAAAGGACTGGAATTGCTTTGGGAAAATTGGAAGAGAGTAGTTTGGGTATTTCTTGCTGTCTTTTTCCTTGTCACTGAAAAGTGCAAAAAGGAAAACACTGGAGCGGCAGCTGCAATGGATGCCATTGCAGACTTTACATTTGCATCTGTTTGAATCAATTATCTCAGGATTCTGGGTTCATGGCTTCTTTTCATGAAGCATGACCTTATCCTAATCCTTGTTGGTTGACTTGTGAATAGTTGTGATGGGTACTGTAACTAATATTGTAATTTGTGCTTGGGATTTGCTCAACATTGGGGCTCTATAAGTTTATGTGCTATTATTAGATGGATTCCACAGTTCTCTTTTTCCACAGGAGGAAGACGAGTAGGCCATTGCATAAACATTAGGCAGTTATTTTTTCTTTTCTCCTCAAATGCTACTTTTTTTTTTATATATATATATCACAGCTTCTGATTGTTTTACACACATAACAGGTAGATGGCATGGATGCTTTTGCTGTGAAGCAAGCATGCAAATTTGCTAAGGAGTATGCTTTGCAGAATGGGCCCATTGTGAGTAAATCTATTAGGCTTTTATGTTATTTTTATTTATGTCATCCCTATTTCCTTTTGTCAAATAATTAACTTTACTTTTTAAGTATTTAAAACATTCTTTTGTAATTTCGAGCTTAGTGATGCCACATAACAATGGTGCTAGATTGCTTTGTCTTTCTTAATGGTTTTATTTCTTCATATTTTTCTGTAAGTATTTAATTCATTTTTACATGGATGATGGGCAAACTAGTTAACCATATCATGAAAATGCATCTTAGTAATTAGTAATTCATGTCATGTAAAAACCATAGTTGATATTTACGGTTGCCAGTATAATGCATAGAGCACATGGACCTGCTGATGTCCTGCAAATGAATGTTATTTCTTATTTATACTAGTTATTATTTGTAATAGCTGATTCACCTCCACCCGACTTCTCTTTTTTTTGTTGGTGGGGGGAAGATACAAGGTGGTGAAAACCTTTTGGGTAGTGGAGGTGGCTTTTTTGCTGATTCAGAAAGACAGACCACTGAACAAATTCTTGGAAGAATTTAACAATGGCGTGAATATTGGTAGAAGTTAAACAAAAGGACAAATGGGTTAGTAGTTGAAACGAATGGCGGTGGAGGAAAGTTTTAGGCTGGCAGGGAGGTGGAGAAAAGATCTGAGCATTGAAACGAAGAGATTTATCTTCGAGCAGGGACGAGCAAGGGGTAAAGAGTACCTGAAAGTCAGGGAAGGTAGTAGGGCTGAAAGGCTTCGTAGATGGAACAGTTAACTCCATCAAGGCAGAAGGGTGGAAAAATTCTTTCGGCTACTCTGGAAAAAGATACGAAGCGGTTCCGAAGAGGAACGAGAGAGGCTGGTTTTTCACAGTTTCAGAACACTTTGGCATTAATAAAAAGCAGATGATTTGCGTGCCTGATGGTCTGAGGAAACAAGGGTGGGCCTCCTTTGCTGGCAGTCTTCAATCTTTCCTCTTGAAAGTTGAGAGTGAGGCAGCAGAAGAATCACTGAAGGGAAGTAACTCCTCCTGCTAATGGTTACCTAATACCAACCTGGACCAGACCCCTGTCTGTCAAGAAGTAACGGTAGCAAGCTCAACCGTACGTCGGAGATTAAGAGTTGAAGAAGGGAGGAAAAATTGGGAGCACAGAATGGTTTTAACGGCTGAAAGGGAAGTAAAGGACTGGACAAAAATCCTAGATGCAGTGGCACAAAAGTTAAAGCTGGAAGGTGATGCTATACTATTGCCTTTCTCTGAGAAGAAAGCTATCCTGGAAGTTGATGTTCAGAAGTGGAGCTTCAACA